CCCCCTGTGTCCCCGAAAGGGAGGGCCAGGGACCTGCACCCCTGGGTGTCCCAAGACCGACTGGGCCTTTGGGTCTCCGTCCCCAGGTGATGCTGGCGGAGCGGAGGGGCTCCGAGGAGCTCTACGCCATCAAGATCCTGAAGAAAGACGTGATCGTCCAGGATGACGACGTGGACTGCACCCTGGTGGAGAAGCGCGTGCTGGCTCTGGGGGGCCGAGGCCCGGGGGGCCGGCCCCACTTCCTCACCCAGCTCCACTCCACCTTCCAGACCCCGGTAAGGAGGGAGGGAGGGGGCGAGGCTGGCTCCAGAGCCCTGCCTCACCCCCACCCCCACCCCAATGGATCAGGCACCTGCTCCAGGGTTCTGAGCTGAAGCCAAGGCCAAAGAGCTTCATGCTCTGAATGGGCGTGGACAGATGGATGGGCCCTGAGTGGGCGGGGCCAGCTGGATGAGCCCTAGTGGGCGTGGCCATCCGGATGGATCCTGTGTGGGCGTGGTCCAGCGAGCTTGCCTTGATTGTTGAGTGGGTGTTTTTGAGTAAAGGGTTGTTGAATAAAGGGGTGTGTGAAGAATGTCTTTTGAGTGTGTGAGCCCAGAACTGGGCTGGGAGAGTAGGTCGCCTCACTCTTGGATTCTGAATGAAGGACTCATCAAATAGGATTTCCTAAGATTGTGGAATGGGACAAGGGTTTGAGAGGGCGTGACTCTACTTCCCAGAGCTCTGAGTGGGCGTGGCCAGCTTCCTGGATCTTTATATTATTATTAAAGGCTTGGTGCATGACGTTTGTGCACTGGGCGGGTGTCCCTCAGCCCAGCCTGTGCCCTCTCGCAGTCCAGGAGCTCTTGGGGGATGTCTGACTAATGGCTTAGGTCTGTTCCCCGAGGGGCTAAGCCAGCAGTAGGACATCCTTAGCGCTGCCACGGAGGCGGGAGAGGATCCCGCCACCGCTGCTGCACTCACCAACCATGAGCTTCCAGCTTCTGGCTGAGCGATGGTCCCCCTGTGGGAGCGCACTGACCACTAGGGGGCAGCTACTGCATTGAGCGTCTGCCCCCTGGTGGTCAGTGCGGTCATAGTGACCGGTGATTCTGCCGTTCGGTCGATTTGCATATTAGGGTTTTATTATATAGGATCATTATCGGTATCATCACTTGCAGGTGAGGCGTGTACCTGTTGGCTCCTAACAGGTGGCCAGAACTGCTGCATGTGTGTGAGGGGCTGTGAGAGAGGTTTGGGATTCCAGCAAATAGTGTTTCTCCTTCTTCTTCTTCTTCTTCTTCTTCTTCTTCTTCTTCTTCTTCTTCTTCTTCTTCTTCTTCTTCTTCTATTATCAAGCTTCAATTCTGAGAGGGTTCTTCTTCTTCTTCTTCTTCTTCTTCTCCTTCTATTATCAAGCTTCAATTCTGAGAGGGCGGGACCAGAACACCTGTAGTTCTGAATAACTGGGCATGGGGCAGGTGGAGATTCTGAGTCGGCCTTGTTAGAATACTTTGGGTCACGGTGGGCGTGGCCAGTTGCTCTGGGTTTCTGATTGGGTGGCCCCCCAGCCTTTCATGTTTGTCTCCGGTGAATAGGAACCGCCCATTTAGCAAGACAGCTCGGCTCACTTCCAATGCTGGGCGCACAGGCTGGCATGGACCGGCTGGTGGGCGTGTCCTTGCCTCTAAGACCCGCCCCCTCCCCCCCTGCTCCCCCAGGATCGCCTGTATTTTGTGATGGAGTATGTCACCGGGGGCGACTTGATGTACCACATTCAGCAGCTGGGCAAGTTTAAGGAGCCCCATGCAGCGTGAGTCTCGGCCAAGGTGAGGGTGGAGGGAAGATGGAAGGCTTGGGGGCGGGGGTCCAGCCATTGACCTCTGACCCCGCCCCCTCCTCCAGGTTCTACGCCGCAGAAATCGCCATCGGCCTCTTCTTCCTTCACAATCAGGGCATCATCTACCGGTGAGCAGCCCCAGGCCTTTCCATGGAGGGGGGTCAGGCCCCTGGAGGGGAAGGGATTTGGATTTAGGGCTCTAGCCCATTGAACTCCATTCCTGCTCACCCCACCCGCACCGCAGGGACCTGAAACTGGACAACGTGATGCTGGATGCCGAGGGACACATCAAAATCACCGACTTCGGCATGTGTAAGGAGAACGTCTTCCCCGGGAACACGACTCGCACCTTCTGCGGGACCCCAGACTACATAGCACCCGAGGTAACCCTAACTCCGCTGCCCTGGGCGCCCTCCAAGTCCGCTGAGTGGGTGGGGCTGGTTGTCTAGTATTCATATTGCGGGGGGGTCCTGACCCTGGGGTCTTTTAAAAATATATATATATTTAATATATATTTTATTGAAATTTTACAGAGAGGAAGGGAGAGGGATAGAGAGTTAGAAACATTGATGAGAGAGAAACATCAATCAGCTGCCTCCTGCACACTCCCTCATTGGGGATGTGCCCACAATCAAGGTACATGCCCTTGACCGGAATCGAACCTGGGACCTTTCAGTCCGCAGGCCAACGCTCTAGCCACTGAGCCAAACCGGTTAGGGCTAAAATATATATTTTTAAATTGATTTCAGAGAGGAAGGGAGAGGGAGAGAGAAACATCTATAATAATAAAAGCATAATATGTTAATTAGACCAGATAGCCAACGACCTTCCGGACATCCTTCTCGACAAAGCCACAGTGGCAGGGGCTGAAGCAGAGGCAGTTAGGAGTGATCAGGCAGGCAGGGCGATTAGGCAGGCAGGTAGAGGGATTAGGGGCGATCAGGCAGGTAGGTAGAGTGGTTATGGGCAATCGGGCAGGCAGGCAGGCAGGCAGGCGAGTGGTTAGGAGCCAGCGGTCCCGGATTGCGAGAGGGTGCAGGTTGGGCTGAGGAACCCCCTCCACCCCCCATGCACAAATTTTGTGCACCAGGCCTCTAGTCAATGATAAGAGAGAATCATTGATCAGCTGCCTCCTGCACGCCGCCCCCTACTGGGGATCGAGCCAGCAACCTGGGCATGTGCCCTTGACTGGAATTGAACCCAGGACCCTTCAGTCCCCTGGCCCACGTTCTATCCACTGAGCCACACCAGCCAGGGCTGACGCTGGGGGTCTTTACATGAGTGGTGGGTGTTCTAAGGCCTGAGCATTCCAAGTGGGTGGAGCTGGGTCTCTAAATAGGTAAAGTGGGCGGGACCTGCGGGTGAATGTTCTTAAAGAGTGGGACCAGCTGGTAGGAACCCCAGGAGAACACGGCCTGTGACTGGACTATTCTAAGAAGGTGGAGAAGATTTCCAGTTTGTTTGAGTGGTTGGGGCCCATCCCCCTAGAATACTAAGCCCGTGGGGGCTGCCTCCTGAATATTTCAGGTGGGCGGGGTGTACGCTGGCTCTATAACGGGGTGGAGCTAAGGATCTGACTGCACCTATAGATAGTGTGTCTTCACTTTTCTGTGGGAGGAGGAGGTAGTGTGGGCGGTGCCATCTTTGATCTTTCCAGGTGACTCAATGCTCTTGTCTGAGTAACCAAGATCAATGGTTTCAAAACCTGGCTGGTAATCAGAATTGCCTGGGGAGGTTTTGAAAAAAAATACACACACATTCCTGCCTCTGACTCTTGCCTATGGAGGTTGGAATTCTTCGGGGCTAGGAATTTCTATTATTATTATTTTTAAAATATATATATTTTAGCCCTAACCGGTTTGGCTCAGTGGATAGAGCGTCGGCCTGCGGACGGAAAGGTCCCAGGTTCGATTCTGGTCAAGGGCATGTACCTTGGTTGTGGGCACATCCCCAATGGGGGGTGTGCAGGAGGCAGCTGATTGATGTTTCTCTCTCATCAATGTTTCTAACTCTCTATCCCTCTCCCTTCCTCTCTGTAAAATTTCAATAAAATATATATATTTTTTAAAAAGAAATAACACATATGCTGCGGGTTCCCTCATCAAGTTGTCTCTACATTTATACTTCTAAAAAGTAAACTTCTAATTAAATGCCAAGTAATTATATATATATTTTTATTGATTTCAGAGAGGAAGGGAGAGGGAGGGATAGAAACATCAATGATGAGAGAGAATCATTGACCGGCTGCCTCCTGCACACCCCACACTGGGGATCGAGCCTGAAACTCGGGCACGTGCCCTGACCGGGAATTGAACCATGGCCTCCTGGTTTATAGGTCGATGCTCAACCACTGAGCCAGGCCAGCCGGGTGGAATTTCTATTTTTAAACAGTTCCCTAGTTGACTCTGAAATGCATTTAAGAATCTCTGGTCTCTGAATTTGAAGCCTTGTGCACCTGATACTGTAAGGAGAGGGTCCAGTTACTTCAATATTCTAGGTGGGTGGAACTTGTGACTTGGCCCTTAGATAGTCTTTGTATTTGGGACCAAAGGGACATCCTAAGCAGGTCAAGTTTGTTTCCCAGATTTCCCAAAGAACGGAGCTCTGGCCAAGCTATTCTGGGTGGGGAGAATGTGTACTGAATACCCTTAAAGTGGGTCGGGTGTTCAGGGGATGAAGCCAGAAGGGTCCTATGTTTCTTAAAGCACAAAGCATGGGTTCTTGCCTTCCATTCTCTCTGCCGCTGTCCCCCACAGATCATTGCCTACCAGCCCTATGGGAAGTCTGTCGACTGGTGGTCCTTTGGGGTTCTACTGTATGAGATGTTGGCGGGACAGGTAAGAAGCTGGGGAGAGGCTGACTGGGCTAAAGGCAACACGGAGTGGGGCGCCACCTTGATCTCAGGAAAAGCCTGGAAGGAAGGTCTGTGGTGTCAGAAGTGCTAAGAGGTGGGAAGGTCAGGCCCAGATAGCGCTGTCCGTGGTCCTGAAGTACCGTCTTCCCAGGATACCACCCCCTTCAAAGAACGATGCTTCAAATGCACAAAATAAAAGGATTACAAAGGAAATCAATCGTATTAAAATATGATCACCAATACTTTAAAAGTTTAATCGAATCTAATTTAACCAACTAAATAAATCTAATTTCAATATATACAGTTGCGTAAATATTAAACATTGGGATGTGGACATATATGTGATGTCCTGTTAATGAACTAAATTGAGAACGATGCTTCAAATGCACAAAATAAAAGGATTACAAAGGAAATCAATCGTATTAAAATATGATCACCAATACTTTAAAAGTTTAATCGAATCTAATTTAACCAACTAAATAAATCTAATTTCAATATATACAGTTGCGTAAATATTAAACATTGGGATGTGGACATATATGTGATGTCCTATTAATGAACTAAATTGTAATATGTTTTTTTTTAAAAAATCCTCACCCAACGGTATTTTTTCCATTGATTTTTAGAGAGCGTGTCGATGCTCTAGCCACTGAGCCAAACTGGTCAGGGCGTAATACATATTTTTAAAAAAATCCTCACCCAAGGGTATTTTTTCCATTGATTTTTAGAGAGCGTGAAAGGGAGGGATGAGGGGAAGAGAGAGAGAAACATTGATGTGAGAGAGACACATCGATTGGTTGCCTCCTGCACATGCCCTGCAACCAAGGCACATGCCCTTGACCTGGAATGGAATCCATGGCCCTTCCATTCATGGGCCTACATTCTGACCACTGAGCCAGGGCTAAGTAGTAATATCTTGCAGGAACAGGAAGTACATAGGAAGGCCTACCAGTCATTTTAAGATAGAGGCAACCGATATTTTGAGATATCTGCAACTCTAATGTGATAAAAACAAACAAACCAACAACACCCAACTATATATATCTGTGATTTCTCTTGGTGATAAAGCCACAAGTATTGCTGTGTTGCCCACATGCATAATTGAATGGAGTGCTACATTCCAGTTAGACATTTAAAAAAAAATAAAGATGCATT